GGACTGGGGGCCGTTTTTTTGTTGCTCTCATCATTGGGGGGTATTTGCCATAGTTGCCACGCTTGGCGAGCGGGTTGGCAACCGCAGTTTTTTTATTGTAATTTGGCTATTATCAGGAAGATGCTGCTGCCCATCTCCTGGCTGTTTCCCTTTGTCGCCTTTTACGACACCCACGGGAGGATATGGGGTAGTGGATATTCTTGACCGCCACTACACGGCATGTAGAGTTCCTTGTAGTAGTAATTATTTCATAAAACCTATTAAAAGTCAACTGAACATAGGCCTCCCTCATAGATTACCTTATAAAAGGGATTTTTCTTTGCTTTGCCTCAAAATCCGTGCCCAGTAGTTGGATGTATGTAGGCTGCTACTTTTTTAAATTTTAAAGGGGCTATTATGCAGATTTTAATTCATTTATATTTTCGGGATCGTTACATTCTTGTAGCGTTTGTAGAATAGAACTCATCATCGTCATCATTACAGCCTATCAAAAGCCTACTGCTGAACATAGGCCTCTAGGATATTTGCCATAGTATTACTAGGATTGCCAACCCATAGTTTTTTTTAATTATTTGAGTTATTATCACGAAGATACTGCTGCCAATTCCTGTTTCATTTTCTCCCTGTTATACCTGTGATACAGATGCGATGATATTATGTAGTGCATTCTTGTATGCCGGCACTACACAGCAACATTGTTGCCGGTGGAAATCCACCAGCCAGCCCTTGCGCTTGTTGAGTAAAGTTATATTTAGTAAATATATAATATTGTAATAAGCATTTAGTTATTATTTATGAAAACATTTCAAACGTATTTATAGAAAACTAAAAGTGAGTGAAGCTTTTAATAAGTTAAGAAGAAATTTCTTTTATTGATATCACAATTCAGTTTTAGCAAAATTATAAGCGTTGCTATTTTTGTAAATCGAAACGTTACGTTGGTAAACATATTACAAAGTTCTTGTTATTATAATTTAAAAAAAGATTTTTATCGCAAAAAAATTATTCAAATTGCTAACAGAACTTTTTACGGTGAAATGAAATAAGTTTTGCATTACAATTTTTTTATGCAATGAAGTGAGATTTAAGAGACAGTAGCTTATTGATTAAGGGTACGAACGTCGATACAAAAGTAGTTGGTTTGAATCGGTGAACCACTCTAGGAGTGGTACAGGTACTTAATCTTATTTTGTTCCACCGCTGGGCACAGGCTTCCTGTAATTTCTGAGAGGATGTTAGGGCAAGAAAATGTCTGCCGCGCTGCTTTCACATGTCTTCGAAATGTCTTTCACGATGTTTCCTTCACCGGCGAGCACGTGGTAAATCAGCTCTTAAATTTGCAATTAATAATTTCATTGTTGCCGGCTGGGATCAAGAGAAAGATTCTCGAGTGTCTGTCTCGTACCGTTTAGAGAATAGGTCGGTACCCATGAGATGAAGTGTCGACAAAGTTGATGGATACAGGTTTGTGACATTTTTTGAGGGAGGCCTTCGTTTAGCAGTGGACTAGTGATGAACTGGAATGATCAATCAGAATTTTTTTATAGGACTAATGCCATTCCAAGTAGTCGATTGGAAGGTTGTCATTGTGTAAATATGATTGAATTCTTACTTCATAAGCCGTATTTAAATAGATTAATATACTTATAATAATAATCTATCATAATAATTTATAAACTCTTGGTCCGTCTTCGGGATAAATAATTTTTGAAAATCTATAAACGACTTTCAAAATCATCGGCACTGCAATAATTAAAAAAAATACTAGTAATGTTATTAAACAATACTAATAATCCGTTTAACCTCTTCTGGTAAGCTTAAAATGCTTGTGTTAGAAGTGGTTCACAACAGTAGTCGAATGGCAGATTCGAACCCACGACCTTTCGAGTTCACGGTCCGCGCCCTGCCATTAGGCTACTGACGCAATGTAATAATTGAAAGGATTTTAATTTTAAGTCACGTATTACTATATATGTATATTATATCATGTGTGATACTTGCTCTTTATAGGTTTATTCCCCCAAGGATATAATTATCAAAATTCTTCTTCGCTGATTGTAATCCGTCGCAATTTTTCAAACAAAAACATAAGAAGAAGAAACTATAACAAGACTCATTTCAAATCACTGAGGCGACTAACAAAATAAACTACTTTGTCATTTTGTTTTGATCTTTCGTAATAGGCTTCGTGTAAAGTAGCTGTGCGCTGTGAGCGCCTCCTAAGTTTCCTGTACCCTGTGCGTTCAAGCGCACTGAGAGACCTCATAGTAATGTTTGTGAATTGGGGATACGGGTGTAACAATACAATATGTATATAATGTAACAATATCATACAATATCCGATCCGTAAGAGTGCTTTTAAGTATCGTGATATTATTATGTTCTTGTAATTATCCTTTTCAGAGTTAAATAAAAAATATCCCGTAAAAAAAATTAATTTAATTTAATTATGAAATTTACATGCGGTAAGGGCGCCAGTCGGGTAACATTATCTAGAAGTCGCATCTTCGATCGAGCCCGGGCTTCACTTGTAATTTTTTTCTTCGTTCGTTAAAAGAAGTTATTAAAAAAAAAACACTGTTTTATTACAATCACTATTATCTACTCACACAGACACATTACTATATTGAAACTCATAATTAGAGCAATCAAGTATCAACATAGAAACAGAAACGACCACTCTAAAGCTTTCTGTGTGCGAAACTGTTGTATAAAGTAAATAATTTCCGCTTGCACATAGCAGCGTTTGTTTTGATTGCGCTACATGTTGCGGTGGTACTTTTGATGTCAACACTGACGATGCCAACATTAGTAGTAGGTACCACACACTCAACGGTACCGTTGCCGACAAGTGTTGAGAGATTTTATAAATATGATGGCTTTTAAGCAAGTTTTGGTAGAAAATATTTCTTTTAAATAACAATAACATTTTCATATTTATTAATAACCTTTATGCCATTTCAGTTCGGATAAAGTGTTTTACAAATTGTGTAATCATATAACTTTACTTACTATTTAAGTTAGAGTGTGAATGAAAGTGTTGGACGGGGTAGAACTAGGAGGACGTTTCTAGACCAAATCACGGACGTCTTGAAAAAAGGCCAGGTCAAGAGTACCCTCAACCGAAGAGCATGTATGAAAGGAATAATGAAAGTGGACGAAGCGAAACAAGTATAGTATAAGTATAAGTAAGGAAAGAAGTGGTCTCTGCCTACCCCTTCGGGCAAGAGGCGTGATTATATGTATGTATCTATTTATTTATTATTACAGAAGGGGGTTCAAAGGAGCTTATGGCTCACCTGATGGTAAGTGACTACCGCCGCCCATGAACAACTGCAACACCAAGGGAATTGCAGGTGGGTTGCCGGCCTTTTAAAAGGAGTAAGCTCTTTTCTTGAAGGTCTCTAAGTAGTATCGGTCTTGAAAAATCGCCGGTAAGCTATTCTACAGAGAGGTTGTACGCGGAAGAAAACTTCCAGTGAAACATACAGTGGTGGACTGCCAAGCATCCAGATGGTGTGGATGGTATCGGGAGTTTTGCCGCGATGTGCGTTAGTGAAATTTGGCTGCTGGGATTAATCCGAACAATTCCTCAGAGCACTCCCCGAGGTAAATACGAAAGAAGATGCAACGGGATGCAACATCTCTTCGCAGCGCCAGTGAATCGAGCCGATCGGTAAGGACTCGGTCGTCGACGATTCGGGCCGCTTTGCGCTGGATGCGGTCAAGAGGAAGGAACTGGCACTTACACACACATTTATAAAAATTATGTAGGATTAAAATATCTTAAATATATCTATTATATAAATATCCATTGTGATTTTATCACAATGGATCTAAAATTCGTCTCCAAAATTCGCCGAATTTTTCACTACTTATAATATAGAATTTTTTTTTAATAAAAGTATTCGAGTATAATTGTTTTAACATGCTTATTATTACATCAACCAACTCAAACAATGAAGGACACAGATTCGTTGTCACCTCTGACGCCTAAGGTGGCTCTTTACCTATCCGACCGGAACATAGCAGAGCAGGCTCGATGCGGCGGCAGAAATAGGTAAAAGGGTGGTACCTAATCAGACGGACTTAAAGAAAACTGAAGGAAGGTTTTAAAAAAAATAATTATCAGCAGAAATTGAGTATTACCACTTATTGAAGTAGGGTTAAGAATATCTTATAGATTTAGAGAAAATGCGAAAAAAATTTTCGAAAAAAAATTTCATAACTTTACTTATTACATGCCTGATGATTACATTAAAGACAAAACAACCAAGAAATACAACGTATGAGAAAATTTACTTCGGTGAACCATGCACGCAAAGTCAGCTAATGTCGAATTCACGCTCAGGGAACATGTATAGAGTAAATAATTAACTTTGCTAAGTAACTTCGCCATACTTACTAAGTCTTCTAAATGATGCCTCAGGTTGACTGATAATTTGGTTTTTAACTTTTTAACTTTTAATATAATTAATATTTCTAACTTTTTAAATTAAAATATTGAAAATTATTATTATAATCCAGTGCTTGGCTGCCACCTCACCTCATGGTAAGTGCTGATACGTTTATATGCGTTTACTTGCGTTTGGGTCAACTCGACTTGGGACGGACCTCGCTCTCACAAAATACTAGCGTAAAATAGCAGCTCAATGCTGCTGTGTTTTGAACGGTGAATGTAAAGAAGCGAAGACTCTTTTTCCTGGAAACGAGGCATTCTATCTTAGTCCTCATGGGTGACAACACATCTGCATTATTTCTATGTACTATTATAATACACGCACACGCACGTATGTGTGTATGTTTGTGTGTATCTTCTAGACTGCGCAGGACAGAATTATAGGCTCTGGTATGTTACTGATATTTCTTGAAAGAAAAACCCAGAATCAGTTGCGCGCGAGCAGTCGAGGCGAACGCACACGTTTGGCTGCATATTGTTATCGCATATTTTATCGCGTTATTTTCACTTCCTACCCACATAATAATTATGTTAAATTTAAATGGATGACATACTTGGAACTGTGGATTTAGGTGTCTCAACTGATAGTGAAGCAATGGAGCAGGAGCTAAGACTTGAAAGTGAGCAACAACTTAATCAAACCTTAAACGAGGAGATGAAGAAGGAGGAGAGAGAGCAACGACTCGCAGTGAAGAGAGTACGACAGGATGATGAAGAAATAGTGGAAGAAGACGGATTTGTTACAGTAATTAGAGGGCATAAGCGGTTGAATAGAAATGATTCAAATAATGATAATTTAGTGGAGGAGGGTCATCAAGATTCTGAGGCGAAGAAATATATTATTATATGTGTGACAGGAAAAGAAGTATTACAGAAACAATGTGGAATGGCAAAGCTTTTACGGTCGTTAAACATTGAAAATATAGTGAAGATGATATACAAAAGCGCTTACAGAGTGTTGATTCATTTTGAAAAGGAAGAAAGTGCAGTGAAACTACTAAAAAGTGAAAAGTTATCCAGTTTAGGATAACGAGCACAAAGGGCTGATGAGACTACCTTTTCTTATGGAATACTGAGGCAGATAGATTTAGAGACCGAGGAAAAAGAAATTCTTGAAAATCTTTCATGTGAGCACGAAATCATTTCAATAAAAAGACTCAGAAGAATGTCTGATAGTGGAGAATGAGTGCAGAAACAGTAAGAATTTGTTTCAAAGGTACCACTTTACCGCCGCATGTGTATGGGTACGGTTGTAGGTTTAAAGTGGAACCTTATACCTTCCCAGTTTCCCAGTGCTCCGGATGTTGGAAGTTCGGCCATCTCTCAAGATCATGCCCAATTAAAAAAATTATATGTCCCAAATGTGGTAACAATCACCCAAATTGCGATACCGACAAATTTGTTTGTGTCAACTGTAAAGGACCACATATGGCCATGCATAAAAAGTGTCCGATATTTTTAAAAGAAAAAGAAATCAGAAACATTATGACGAAGCAAAATTGTACTTATCGAAAAGGTCTGGAAATATATTTAAAAGGCAAGGGGAGTCAAGAAATATACACTAGAAGTGAGGACATTGAAAGTAATAGGAACATTAACGATTCACAACTTGAGAGCACACAGAATACACAGAAAACATCGTACAGAGATATAGTGATAACAGAAACACTTATTCATAATGATTCGTCGACGTCAAATAAGGTTATCGAAGGGAAGAGTTCTGGACATAATCATATAGAAAAGGAGCGGGCGCTGGAGAGGAAGAATACAGAGGCTGGAATATCGGATGGGAATAGGAAGACTAGAGAAAAGGGTAACGGTGAGTCAGAAGCAAGACAAATGCAGACAGAGCAAAATCCGGAGTCTAAGAGTAATAGTTCAAATTCTATTTTAGATTTAGGTAGCATTTTTCAAAGAGTCAAAGATATATGTTGTTACGATAACGATTGGTCTACTAAGTTCCAACAATTAGGTAAACTATTATTTGAAATACTTGGTAATTTAATAATCAAAATTTGGAACAGAGACGATTTATGTACAAGAATAGTATCTATGTTCAGAAATGGCGAATGATAATACAAGATTGTTTAAGCTATGTATGTTACAGTGGAATGCACGAAGCTTGCGGCCCAAACGTAACGAATTGGAACTTTTATTAGCACAAGAAAAAATACATATAGCGTTAATATCTGAAACTTGGCTAGAACCAGATTCACATATAAATATTAGTGGCTATAATATTTTTAGAAAGGATAGGGTAGATGGCTATGGGGGGTTGCTATTATAATTTGTAAGTCGATTAAAGTACAACAATGTCCAATCATAATTAATAATTCGGGAATAGAAATTATTTCAATCAAACTTTTGAACTGTAACGAAATTAAAAATATACTTTTAATATATTGCCCCTCTTCCGTGCGGACAAGTTTGTCTGATTGGGAACAAATTTTTTCACTATTTCCGAATAAATGTATTATAGCTGGGGACTTTAATGGTCACCATACAACATGGTCGTCTAAAACCGATGGAAGAGGAGGACAGATATATGATGCGGCTTTAGATGGCGGCTTTATATCCCTTAATGATGGTAGCGTAACTAGAATGACTTTAGTTAATAACATTATTCAGCAGACATCGCCTGATGTGACATTTGTTTCCTCTGATTTATCCGTTTCGTTTAACTGGAGTGTTATGAATGAAAGCTTGGGAAGCGACCATATGTTTATTAAGATTTCTTATAAGTATAATAGCAATATAAATCGAGTTTGGGTAACTAAAAAGCGTAATTTTAAACTAGCAAAATGGCCAGCGTATAGCAAGTCTTTAGAAAACTATTTATTACAGCCTATAGATGACATTAGTGTCCAATCCTTGTATGATAATTTCATTAAGCAAGTGAATAACGCTGCGGACGAACATATACCGCTAGTAAGAAGCTGTGATAATCCCAAAAATAACTTTCGGCCTAAGCCTTATTGGAATCCCACACTATCCCATTTAGTAGCACAACGAAGATTGGCCTTGAAGAATTTTAGAAAGAACCCCATCCCAACTAATCTCACTATACTCGAGCGCAAAACAAAAGAGACGAAAAATGCAATTAATCAAGCGAAGGCAAGAAATTGGCAAAGTTACTGTAGCAGCATTGACGAACGAACGTCTAACTCCTATATGTGGAAACGCATGGGTTGGGTTAAGGGGGATTTAATTCGTCAAAGTCACACGTTTCAAACGAACAGAAGTTCGATCTCCTTTGTAAGCTAGCTCCCGATTATGTCTTTCCAAAGCCTGAGTATTTCAATTCAAGTAATACAGTACTGGAAGCCAATTTCACCCTACAAGAAATGTGTAATTGTTTAAAACAAAAAGATACAGCGCCTGGTAACGACGGGATAACATATTCACTTATATATAATCTATCTCATGGCAGTAGGCTTTACTTGCTTGAGCTATATAATTATATCTTCAACACCGGAATTATTCCATTTCAATGGCGTGACATATTGGTAACGCCGATTCCAAAAGTCTCGAATAATAATAATGTTAAACTTAGGCCCATCTCTTTAATATCGTGTGTCTGTAAAATTTTTCATTCAATGTTGACAAAAAGACTTGAGTGGTATGTTGAAAAAAATCAATTATTATCCCAGTACACGTCCGGCTTCAGAAGAGGACAGTCATGTCAAGACTGCCTAGTCAAACTAGTAAGTCAAATTTACTTGGGATTTTCCCGTAAGACCCCAACTATAGCCTGTTTCCTAGATATCAAAAATGCGTATAACAATGTCCTAGTAGATATACTGATAAACACTTTAGATGAAATAGGGATTGGTAAAAAGTTTTGTCAATATCTATGGAATTTTTTAAGCGAAAGACACCTTATGATGCAGGATGAAACTGACCGGAATAAGTACTTCATAAGATACACAAATCGAGATTTGGCGCAAGGTGACCCAATTTCACCTATTCTTTTTAATATACTTACCATTAAATGCTTCCAGGAGATTAGAAACGTGACAATGTGTCAATATGCCGATGACTTTGTATTTTATTCCTCTTCTAGAAATTTTGGTGAAAGTCAAAATGAATTTCAAATTGTTTTAAATACGCTCTGTAACATTCTAGATGAAATGGGGCTAGAACTTTCTGCTTACAAGTCTAAAATTTGCATTTTCAGCAGGGGTTTTAAAAGACTACAAATAGAATTAAAATTAGATAGTCATAATTTAGAGATAGTAGACACTTACAAATATTTGGGTGTTTGGTTGGACAGGTCGTTGCGTTGGAGCAAACATATTAACATGACGGTGGAGAAAGTGCAAAGAAGTCTTAATCTACTTAAAGTATTAGCTGGTGTCTCCTGGGGCTTGCATCCTAAACATTTAAGACATATATATATAGCACTGATCAGAAGTCGTATAGACTACAGTTGCTATCTATATGACGCAAGTGCAAAATGTCATTTAGATAAACTAAATAAAATTCAAAATGAGGCACTAAGGATAATAGGAGGATTTATTAAAACAACTCCAATTCACGTTATGGAGAGTGAGCTTGGTGTAGTTCCACTGTACTTACGGAGAAAATATCTAGCATACAAATTATGTCTAAAGTTAAAGTCTGCAGAAAATAATATAACTACTCAGCTATTAGAAGAACTCTACACTCTTCGACAAAATCATTATTGGAGCAACAAAATCATTCCTTTACTGGTATCCTCACATAATGAAGTTAAAGAAATTCAGATAGCAACATCATGTCCGTTATTAATGTTTACTTTGCGAACATGGGTGACCAATATTAACTTAAATGAAGTAATTGTACCCAAGCTAGAAACAATTCACTATTCAAAAAGCTCATACGACAGTAACCTATTAAAGTATGAAGTTATCAAAGAGTTGTATACAAGATTTATGGCTGGAGTTTTATATTTACGGATGGGTCGAAGAGTGTAGAAGGATATGGGTCTGCGTTTTATGTGCCTAACATAGATATAATACTAAATCAAAATAATCATTGTTTTAAAATAAGTACTCATACTAGTATTATGGCTTTGGAACTTATTGCAATCTCAGAAGCTTTGACACATGTTATCAGTAGCCAATATAAAAATGTAGTTATATGCACAGACAGCAAGAGCTCGTTGCAACACATAGCTCGATGCGCCTCTGGTTACAGAGGTGCATCGATAGCTTATGACATAATATCCAAGATAGATGAAATAACTTCAAAAGACGTCCAACTGAGATTGCAATGGGTCCCATCGCATATTGGGTTACGGGGCAACGAAAGGGCTGACATGTTAGCGAAATATGCAGCTAAGAATGGAAAGGAAACTCATATTATTTTGGATCACTCAGAAGTTTTACCTAAATTCAAAAATATTTGTTATGAAATGTGGAAGGAATACTTTAACAAGCGGTCACTAGAAAAAGGAATATGGTACAAAACCATACAGTGTCAGCCTCTTCATGTGCCCTGGTTCATGAATACTAGATTAAGTAGGAAATTAGTTACTACTGCTCATAGACTCAGATCTGGACACGTTCCATGTAAGAAATTTGTATTTCTAATGAGAAAAACAACTTCGCCCAATTGTGAAGACTGTGGAGTTATAGAAGACCTATACCATATATTGATGGAATGTGTTCGATTTGAGTCTATTAGAAGTAATTTCATAAGGGTCTTGAATTTGAACAGAACTGACGTAGGCACATTCCATAATATTCTATCCCAACCAAATGGCGACGATGCGAAAGTTCTGTTCGAATCCATGGCCCATGTAGTTATTAAGTAGTGTTATATGAGTAAGTCATGTATATTAGGGTATGATGGGACTGACATACCCTAAGCGGTAAATGTCCCTTAAATTATAATAGAATAAAAAAAACCCAGAATAACTGATTTTTTGCCCGACCTGGCATTCAAACCCGAGGCCTCATGATCAGCAAGGTAGTACCATATAGTATACAAGATATAGAAAATATGAGATATTTTATAGCGTGACAAATATATTATATAACCCTTTCC